CAGGTTTGCATCTCAAGAGACGCCGACCTTGTCAACAGCGACTTCATCTTCTCAGCATGTTCCAGTCCCTAGACCTCCAAGTACTAGTACCTTCTGAGAAGGTGTTTGGGGTGGCTTTGGAGGGTCCAAATACCTTCTGAGGAGGTGCTTGGAGGTGTAGGGAGTGCTTCATGGTGTTTTTCTTCCGATGTCACGACTCCTTTCGGCGCCTTCGGACCCTGAAACACCAACTGCGGAGCGAACGCGCGTCGCCAGGACACGCATCCATGGGACCACGGAAGAACGGGTTGAAGTGAATCCGTTGAACAACAGGAAGAGCATCCTCCGGTCGTTCGCTCCGGGTGCACGCACACAGGAAGTGCACCGTATGGTGTTCAGCGACGAACAGCGAGCGACCGACGAAAACAACGTGGTTCACTTTGCTGTTTGGGAAGGGCGGGCAAGGGAACTGTTTGAAAAGCAAGGCATTGAGGAAGAGTAGCAGCGAAGAGAAATCGCAGGTAAAGCAAGCAAGGCCAAAACAGGCCACAAGAAGAAACACTTCGGACAGCAATGATAACTCAAAGTTGCCAAATCTGGATTGCATTTTGTGATCACGAAGGAGTGCACAGTCTTGGAAAGTGTTGCACAACCGACAACACATGTTTTCAAAAATCAATATGATTCGGATTGACTCAGACATATTCAATCATATTCGGACCTTTGACCTTTCCAAGCCTCCCCCAGTTGTTAGCCAAGGCTCATAAACGGCGAGGACATGATGATTGCAGTGGTCGAATCTTTTGCCACAGCCGCGACCATCAAATACATCGCTTCCATTGTGACCTGATTCTCGCAAAAAAAATATCTGCCACGCTTCTTGAGAGCATAATAAGTTCACAAAGGAACACCTGCAAAATCGCAGGGTTGCCTGCCTACCTCAACCCACCGCACCCACCCCGCTTCCTTTGATGCCTTTTCCCAATTATACAAGCATAGACCCCAAACAGCTTCGAAACGGTTCGTTTAGACCAATATTAGTCAAAAATCGATTTCTTGGTACGCCCTACCTTCACCCCAAGAGCAAACTGCTTCATCAATGAATTTTTGTCGGCATTGACATCGCTATTTGTTCGGCCACACTCCTCTCTAGTAAACCGGGACGCAGAGACCAGCCACAGAGTTCAGGGGCGCGGCCAAAACAAGGACAAGAGGAGGACAAGACCCGGACACAGAGACCAGCCACAGAGTTCAGGGGTGCGGCCAAGACAAGGACAAGAGGAGGACAAGAACCCAGCCACAGAGGACAAGAGGAGGACAAGGCCTGGATACAAAGCCCAGAGCCCAGCCACAGAGGACAAGAGGAGGACAAGGCCTGGACAGAGAGCCCAGCCAGAGAGGACAAGAGGAGGACAAGGCCTGGACACAGAGCCCAGCCGCAGAGTTCAGGGGCGCGGCCAGTGAGTGTGGCCAGCCCTTTTTCTTCTATAAGATAGAACCCCAACACTAACTGTTTGGAGAACAATGATATTTCACTGGCCAACACAAAAAAAGGCAGACAACCGCAACCCCCCCCAAAAAAACAATATGGTCATATCTTTTGTCCAGCCAAGAACTAAATCAGCTCCCGCCGTGGCCAAATGTTTTCTGAGGACAGAACAAACGTCCAAAATACAATCATACACATTGCCCAAAACAGCTTCCGTCCAGTCCACACCTTCCATTCCATCTTCTGCTATCTCCGATCTGGGCCCCCCGTCGTTGGCTCTCCGCCCAACACCGAGCCAACAAATACGACAACTTAAAACAACGGATCCTTGCCCCACCGGGCTCTCTGAAACCGCTTGGATCACCCGCTGGTCAACCGACCAAGAGGCTGACAAGAGCGTGGACCACAAGTAGGCGGAGGGGAACATGGTCCATCGCCTCGGGTCCCGCGGTGCATGTACCGGGCAGCATGCAAATAGCCGGGTTGATCTGGGAGTAGATGTGGACCAGCCATCCACAAGTGGATAGCCCTTGTAGTGGTGGAACGTGTTCAGAGGTGTGTTTGGACATGCTTAGATCACCGCCCCTCATGGGTCGCCTCCCAGGGCCTTCACGGATGTTCCCGACCGCACGGTCGCGACCGGTCGGCAGCCAGGGTACAGTCCGCTCATGGCAAAGAGGATGGCAATGAAGATGCCTTCGAAGTATTGGATATCACAGGTTATCACAGGTACGAGTATGTGTCAGTTTCAGCTGGACTTAACAGTTGGTCTGGAGAGTTTGCCTCTGAAAATTGTGGCAGGACTTCGTTTCCGCTGCATAGGACTTCTAGCCAAGTAGCTATGGACGACCAAGGCTTGGCACAAGTTGAGGACTGTGAAGGAAATGATGTAGGCCTTAGTAAACCAATGGGATTGTGAACATGCTATATACGCCAAGGAGGATCTCTTCAAGCCTATTCTTTCCCACAGGTGAATCCCTCAATAGACCGATGAACTAGCATAACTTTGATGATTCCTCAGATGAGATCATGTACCGTGTTCAGGATTGTACCATACGGTAGCCAACAACAACAACAACAACACCAACACCAACAACAACACCAACAACACCAACACCAACAGCAACAACAACAACATTGTTGATCTGAATTATTGCTGGGATGAGCATCCTTATCGCTGGCTACACGGCCTTCACACCACATGCGCGACCCATGTTGAAGTTGGAATATATATAATGTCATCTCGTATACAAGTAATAGATCCATGTATAAACAGCTTATATCAGTAGGCAACAAGTGCTGGCTCAAATTGTGAAAGTTGGCGATCCTTTTGTTGACTTTGTCTGCCATCATGTGCTTCTGTTGTGCTGAGAACCCGGCCCAATCACTGTAGAGAACCTGGCGTCGGCTGGATCACTGGGAGTGCCTGACTGGAGAACCTCGCTGTTCATGGCAAACATCTAGGATTTATCGTGCGTTCAAGAAAAACCCTCGCCCAAGTGGTCTGCCATCTAGCAGCCCAACAGGCACTTTCCAGAGCAACCAACACGTACTTGGCACCGTTCGATCGCCTCAGAGGTCTCCATCTTCACGATGGTGCGCTCACCAATGACCATCGGCATGTTCCTTGGAACCCATTTGGAACCGACGGATCTGAGGAACCCTATGTCCAGTACGGCCTGCTGTGGACCCATTTCCAGTTTGCACTATGCCACTATGCCGCTGCCGCTGCCTTTTCGGTGAATTGAACATGAAATGGACGACAACTGGCAGGCTGACCATGCACCTGGCAGGCTGCCTCCTCCTTTGGCTGGGAATTGGGACACCTACGGCCTGACACGGCGGGTAGCATGGGAGTGACACGGCACACGTGGCGCCAGGCACGGCCAGACGACGACCGTTTGGAAAGGAGAAACAAACGATGGCATTTGGGACCCACCTGGGACTGGTACAATCATAATGGATTGGGGCTCTACATCGCCAGTCCTTGCAGCACCCAAAAGTATATACTGTATTTCATGATATTTCCTGCTTGGCCTCTGACTATGCTCGCATACCAACCGGCTCGCCCTTTCATTCTTAAGAACCTGTCTATCCATCTTCCATGTCTCCGTCCAGCACCACACTGAGGGCGGGACTTTAACCCATCAATCGCCGTCGTCATACACAGCCTCAGTCGAATACGGCCACGGACAACGGAAGGCCACTCCAGGAAACCATCAGACAGTGTCCATTTCACACAGAAAACTTTCTTCCTGTTTCACACCACGGTCAACCTGTCAGTCCGAGGACTCAAGTGTTCTGAACCAGCGAACTTTTGTGGTTCATTTTGACAAAAACCTTGAGTCCTCTGGCTATGAATGAATGATAGATGCATGCAAACTTTGCAGGAGGATGCAGGCACTCTTACACTTGCTTCACAAAGTTTATCATGGTATCCTCAAACAATGGCCTCTATACCCAGCCATCAATTGGCGTCAAATTGCATGAAGAAGAAGGAGACCTGCTGTTGCGCCGCTAGCTCCCCAGTACGCATGTAGACGATGCCCACCACCAGTGCCTCTCGTTCAGCTTGGGTCGGGTCTCAGTGGGGACCTGACCGTGGACCTGGTGGCAATTCAGGGTGTGGAAGCGGTAGGTGATTTCGGGACTGGAATCCTCCTTGCAAAAGCAAACTTCAGCGTGTCATGATTCTGCGGCGTTGTTCCTCCAATTGCCCTCTGTACATAACCTCTTGCAGTCAAGAAAACTATGTGAAAACGTGTTGGTGACCTTCTCCTTCACACTGATTGTCTGTGCATATGCAAAATTATTATGTGTTGAACAAACATCACCACAAGTTAATTTCAACCTGCGAGACTCTGGACCGCCGCCTGTTGTGGTGCCCCCCGCTCCTCCATTTCAATCGATTTCATTAAGATTGCATGCATCAGCAAGTCTGGTGAATTTCCAAACACAACCTCTTGCGATTGACCACACAAAATCCCTTCAAAAACCAGCCTTCACCGCAGCTCCCAACCTAAGCAAGTGTAAGATGCTGCGCTGTAGGGGAAAACCCGCAGGTATCCAGATGGGTCAAGAATCGTGGCCTCAACTGCATCATATGATTCCAGAATCCTGGTTGGTTTTTTCGTTCTGATCCACCCCTACGTCCACCCCAAAAATTGTTGTTGCAAAGATTCTGCAGTTCCAATCTAGTAGCCCCACTTCACATGGCCATGTGAAACCACTAAATAATTTCGTTCTCGGTCTCAAAACAGCAAGCCAATACCCTTATGTTGTTCAAAACATTTCTTTATCTGTTGAAAACCAAAAATGTTTACCCAACAACACGCTGAAGGTACGCGCGATGGTAGACCATGGAAGAGACCATGGAAGGCCTTCAGTCAAAAACACAAAAACCTGGAGTAGATGATTAGAGTTCCAAACACGGTAAACCGATAAGCTATAGATAAAGCAAACTGATTATTAAGCGGTGGAAAAATTGATGAAATGTTTCCGCGAACACATACAATGCCCCCATCAACCATGTTTAAACATACTGTGAATAAATGTTGCAAAAATACAAAGACAAATAGCTTTCGTCCCGAAACATCACCTTCACGCCACAATGACCGAGGCACAAGTCTGCAACTAAGCCGTTGCGATCACGCCAGCGCAAGCGAACTTGCCGCAGGAAGACGTACCAGAGCTGCCGGCGAAAGCGCACACCGTAGACACCTGCGATTCGTCGCGGGAAAAAAGTTCAGAACACTCTCGAGACTCTGCTGGGATAGGTGGGCTTGTAGAGGGGAAACCAGGACGGAGTAGAGAACCCGACACACATACATGTACTTTTGATGTTTCATCCAAACTAGAGCTGCAAGCGCCTCATTCCCCAACTGTCAGGTGAGGGTCTCTAGATTCTATGTCAGTGATCCCGGAGCTCAAGCTGGCTCAGGGAGTTCAAAACAAGGACTGGCGCCCGATCCTCATGGTGGTGAGGGTCCAGGATCCAAACATTGCTCAACGAGGTGCACGTGAAGAAGCTCAGGCCAAGAAGCACCAAGACGACTATGGCCCAGTCTGACTTCAAGTCTGCCTCCTTGGGCGGCTGCCGGGAAGACACGGTTGCAAATGCAAATGGCGATGCTGAGCTTCGTGGCATCCCTGTGCTCCAGAACTCTGAGCTGATAAGTCCACTTCTTGGTGCATCATGGCGCGCGGAATCCTGGACTTCCTTGTCAAAGGCGTTGGGAGTGACATGGGCACCAACTTCAAGGCGCTTTTCGCCGCAAGTTTGCTGCATGCGCAGCAGGGCGGCACCGTGAACCCTGAAGACAAAGTTCACAAGTTCAGCCCCTACGCTGTTCGCAACAACCCTTCTCGAGGTCGCACATGCATGATAACTACCGAGCGCAAATACGGATGCTTTTCTGCCGGCAGCATTTGGGCTTTGACTCGTATTGGGTGAACCTATGACACCCCAAGATGCCGCAACGCCGCATATAGTGTGAGTGAGAGAACTCCACCAAATGACGCATGCCCAACACAATGGCCAAGAAGCACCACACCAAGCTGAGGTGACAGAAAGGAGTCGAAGTGGTAGTGGCACTTGGACATTGTTGAACCCTTGAATCTTGAAGGTCAACGGAAAGGTCTACTAGCTCGCCATGAAATCTTCATATCCGCACCGTATATTCCGAAAAGGCGATAAAAACCCAAGCGGCTGCACGCATGTACTCCCATAGCTTCGCGCTCTATCGATGCGCAGCAGCTTGCTGCATAGCCGCGCCATGGTGAGAAAGCACACTCGAGAAGGCATAAATCGGCGCACAGGAGATTTATTAAACCACCCAATCTCTACTGCAGGCCCATGTCAGGCTCTTGGATTGCAGGGAACATCGCCTCATCTGAGAGAATCAACTCATTATCCTTCGTCTTCTGCAATGATTGTCTCTGCACCAAAGCATGTACACATATGCAAGAGATATGTATGAGTTCAAGTACATGTCTTCTGACCAAGCACGCAGTTTCTCCAACAGGGCACCCCAAAGTGCGTCAGGGGATGCTTGCAGTCGTGGCGTGTTAAAGACCTACTTGGGCACTGCGCGGACTGCGCGTCCACCAGAACGGCCCTGCCAGGAGTTTCTTACCAAACCTTCTGTCTGCTTCTTGACTCCTTGGGCTGCTTGCAGAATCTCAGAAGTTTGCATCCCTTGAATTTCTGTTGGCTACCCTGGTCTATCATGTGGAAAGCCAGTGCAAGGACCATCGAGAGCTCAACTCTGTGGCTCTGACGCTGACACCTTGCTGCTCAAATGATCTCACCCACCATCAGCCACCTATCCATCCACCATCCACCTCCCAACCCACCATGTATTCGAGCGTTGGCAGCCTTTCCTTCAAACCTCATCTGCAATGCCCCTCCCACCAACATCCCAAGAGCCAATACCACACATGGGCTGCAGTAGCTCTCATGTACCTTTCCCCAAAACAGTCCTGTCAGCGGACTCTGGAGTGCTTCAACATGTTGGGGCAACGTGGGGGGTTTGGGTTGGCCCGGAAAGCAAACGTTTCCGACCACGGACCAGGGTTCTCCGGGGGGGGCTGGGGACAGCTTCGTTCGTGTTACTAGTTGCGCAAACCGAACTTCACGTTTCTTTGCCGGCGTCATGACGTTGCATTCGCGGATAATTTGATCTTCGCGTGGGCGTTGCGATGCGAAGCTGCAACGAGAGCACGTTGAAGGCCTTGCAGCATTGTGGTTCAGCCAACATCCAGGCTTGGACTCAATGCTACAGCTGTGCAACTCCAAGACGATAAGTTGAGTGCCCCGAAACCCAAAATACCCGGTAAAATGCATTGTTTTCTGGCCCTCTGCATGTTGCAGTCCGGGCTCCCCCCATCAACATGCATTAGTTTGGGCATGGAGATAGATAGATAAATAGATAGAGATAGATAGACCGCAACAATCATTGCTGTGAAACATCCCCTCCAGGAAAATGATGATCTTGTACAAACTGAGCCTGTTTAGCTGTCGAAGGTTTTCTGAAGAAGGTGAACATTCTATCAAAGTAAGGCTGAGGTGATCAGGTGATCTAAGGTATATTACACCTTACCCTGTTGGAAAACAAACACTACAAGTCCAAAGTCGAGAATTTCCTGGCTTCTCTGATTCTCTGATAATGAAACCAATTGATTCGGGCCTGGTTTCATTGTCATCAAATGTCAATCATGCACTTCCACCGCCACCCGGAGTGAACTGTGAACAACATGTGATTTACCAGGACATCCGAGAGTGAACTGTGAGTCAACATGTATCAACACTGCATCAATCAACATTGGATCCCTAAAAACATAAACCACGAGCGTGATCTATGTTATGAGGTCATTCACACCGGAAAGCCACAAATCAAAACCCCAAGTCCTTCACACCAAGTCCCTGGTGACTTGGACGGGTCACTGTTGCGAACTGGTGGCATGTCGCCCCACCTCAGCGCAGCGGTCCGTTCGGTCGATCAAAGCCACGCTCCAAGGCTCCACGGTCCCAGGCTTGCCAGGTGGAACATTTCTAAAAACTGTCGATCGATTCCCTATGTTGTAGCGTATATGTCGTAACACGTATACGGCGACATAACGCATGATGCTTACGCGAGCAGCTTGCCGGTGTGCTTACGCGACTGCAGGTTTAGCTTATACGTTGAGGGGTTGCTTAATACGCCACTGCTTGCGCAACGTTTACGCATCCTTACGCCGCTGGAGGTTTTGCTTACGTACCTCGATATGACAATACCGTCTCAACGTCGGGCTTGCGCCGAAGCTTGCGCAGCCCTTGAACGACAACAGTTTTTGCTTACGCACAGGATCACTCAGCAGGGTTGACCCACAGGTTGAATTCATGACTGAATTCATGGTATCTAGTACGATCTAGTAATTTTACAGCCTGCAATTGGAGGTTTCTATATTCAAAAAACTCAGCCATGCTCGTGCATGAGGAAACACCCAACTAACAAAAGTTCCGTACTTTCTGACATCTTCCAGCCCAATTTGCGTTTTGCTAATCTGCAGGCATTGCTTCTACGAATTGACAAATATCGTGGTTGCATCCCCCTTGGAATTAAGTGGGGGGGTGGGTACATCAATTTTGTAGTGGAAATACCAAGCGGGATGTGGTTGCTGTCCATTCTGGCTCCTTCACTTCAGATGCTTTCTACGCTCCTTTTTGTCTCAACAGGCAAAATCCACGTCAGCCGGAAAGCTGCACCGTTTACACGTCAATTGCTGCTGACTTAAAGGAGGGAAGGTACATCCGATTCCGTCGAAAAGACAAGACCAGCCGCTCCCGAACCAAAAGATCAGCACCTAAAATCACTGAGGGCCATTCGGTCAAACGTAGGACTTGGAAAGCTTCGACATCTCCTGCCAAAACCGGATTTTCCCGCACACAGCAACCTTCCGCAGAGTTGCCAATGCCAAAGACCGCCGGCAATTCTTCTGTCCGCACATCCACAAACTTTCTCTTCTTCTCCGGCACGGAGCCGGATGCTCCAAAACCCTTGTTTTTGACCTTGGGCTTCTTCATTCCCTTGGCTGCATCCTTGTTGCAAAGAGTATGGGCAGAGGCCAAATCGGGAAAGCCTTGTATGAACTTCACCTCCTCTAAATCTTGCCCTGGAGTTGCCAACTTCACTTGACAAGCATAGAGCTCATTGCCACTCGGTGTCCTGATCTTCAGGAGGGGTACGGGAATCATCAAAGAGACATCGAAGGGCAAAGGTGCCTTGCGCTCCTTGGGAGCAGTAGCAATCTGAGCCTTCTTCGCATCGATGTCGAAGTCCCAGTCAAAAAGCGTGAGAAAATCCAATCCTAAGATGCCTGCACAACCTCCAGGCACTGGCAACTCGTCATCTGGAATGGTTGCAATGAGTACATCTCCACATGAAATTTTTCCATCCGCCAGCCATGCATTGCTGATCGTCGCCTGTCGAATGCCTGAACCCGGAGCCTCTTCCTTCGCCCAATCCGGCTGGCCACTGAAGCATGCTTGGAAGAGGTTTTCCACCAAATTTTCCTTCATGATCGAGTGGTAGCATGCGGTGTCCACTACAAAGCGTAGTGGGCTACAACCAACCTCAAGGTCCAGGGTGATGACTCGTGCCTTGGTTTTAAAGCCATGGTCACTGATCGCTCTCATCAAATGTATTCGAGCTTCAGCTCCACCGGCTTTTGGTTGTGCCGCCACCGGTGGTGGTTCTGCGTCTTTGAAAGGATTGGTTTTCTTCTGCTTTTCTTTTGGCTCCTCTTTTTCCTCAAGCTCTTTCTCCTTAACTTCTTTCTGGTTCACCTTCTCCTTCTTCGGCTCCTCCGTCACACCTTCGGAATGCCCATCTGAAGCTCTTTCCATCGCCTCGATCGCCTCCGGGGCCTCCAAAAGCTCCAGCAGCGACTCCCGGTCGACGCGGCCCTCCGTGTTCAAACCAAGCTCATTCAATTCTCTTCTCAAATCTCGTGCCCTCAATGCTCTAAGCTCTTCCATTCTAGAGAGGACCTTCTTGGATGGAGACAATGCAGTGGAAGAAGAGGACGCAGAACCAGCTTCTAGGAGCATCTTCCGGCCCTCCTTTTCAAGGACTTCCACCAGCGACTCACCTAACTGATGATTTTGGACCTCCAAAACATCGCGTTCAATCACTATTCCCAACATGTCCACAAATCCCAAACCCATGGGGTTAGGGTTCTGAACATGGCTATTTGAGGGATTCTCAGAGAATGTCTCTTTTCCAAAAATCAAAAAATCTACCAAAGCATCACCCCGGTGGCGATCAACACACCCTGCGGTGGAAATGCCTAAGCCTTCCAGCTCTTCCCGCAGATCTCGCGCACGCATGCCCTGCATCTCGCGAAAGCGCTCCTCCAAACGGGCCATGTCGATGACCTGCGAGCCCACCTGGCGGCTGCCGACCCCGAGACAAGATCAGAAGCCACAGATTTCGGTGCTCGGTTTTCACAGAAAATAGCAGAAGAGTCTGAGAGCCTCTGGGGTGATATAGAGGGATGAGAAGCCCGTCCCAAATATGAGACATTCTTCCACAGCTTCCCACTCGCCTTCTTCTTCACTTCTCGTGGTAGACGCGCAGCTCCGCCCGCCACCAGGCCCGCCAGGCCCGCCACCCGCGGACCGTGCGCCGTGAACGCCGCATGCGCCGCTCGGCCGCGCGGTCGGAGGGGACTCGTCGGGGCGACCGGTCGAGGCGGCGTGCCCGTCCAGGCGGGAAGCTGCATGGCTCGGAGTGGTCGTTTGATGTTGTTTTTGATGGTGTTGTTGTTCAAAGCAGAAAGGTGCGCAAAGAGCTCATTTATATGATAAGTATATAATATGCATGTATGTATAGTCATTATATATATATATATATGTGTGATTGCTTAAATTGCCTATTTTGGTTATTATGTAATGTTATGTGTGGTTATGTTAGGTTCTAGAGTCTAGAGATCATGCATGTTCTGCGACGTCATGGAACAACATCATGCTCATGCTTCGGGACCATGGCTCGCTCCTTGGTGGGAAAGCCTCGGGACGATGCCCGCACCACGGTGATTGACGTCAGTTAGAATTCTCCTTGTAAATTGAACGGTCCATGTTGATTGACAGGCTCTGAGACAATTCATGAACATGCGCTTGAACCAGCACTCAGTGGCAGACCCCCTGTGTTTGAAGTTGACTCGTCTTCACAAAGGCATGTACAAATCTTGCCCCCTTCTGCTGATTGTCTCAAGTTGCACTATACCGCGTCTTGCGTTAAAGCAGTCTTTGATGATGATCTTCTCATGCCTTCACTAGTCTTTCACGACACAGCTAAGCTCGCAAAGCTCGCACTGTGTGTGGCAGACGTCGACCAAAAACACTTCTCTTCCTCCCAAATGATCACACGCCTGGCTTCTTCGTCACATCTTTTCCAACTCGCCCCAGCTCCCGGCCCCCGAGGTTCCCTTCATGAAAACCCAGCCGCGACCCAGGTCGCGCGACGGCATCCCGGTCTCCACCCCCTACACTCTCCGCGCGAGGGCAGTGAAAAGCAGAAAAAGAACAGGCACCAAGGGACTCCAGCATCTGTGCGCGGACGTTCTCCAGCAAATCCAGGGCGCTGGGCATCTCCAGCTCCAAGCCTCCGGAGGTGGGGTTGTTCAAAATCAGTGATGAAAAGAATAGAGGGGTTGGTACCAATTACATCCATATATTAACCAAGGTATTCCCTCGGGTTATATGTTTTTACACCAACTAACCAAGGTATTCCCTCTATTAATCAACCAAGGCCGAACCAAGGCCATCGATCACGGCGCTCGCGCGTGGCCGCAGAGTCCTGCCGTGCGCGCGCGGGCAGGTGTGTGTCGCGTGTCGTGTGTCGTGTCAGCAAATACTGGGCCGGGCTGACCAGTGAGAAACATCTAAAATATTGCACATAGCTTCAGGGGAAGATCTGGCCTACTACTTCAGTGAACACATCGAGATTCGAGATAGATTGCATTGATGTGACATGGTGAGATGTCGTGCAATTATTTCATGCGGTCAAGTTCCAAACTGGGAATGTTCTTTCGCCTTGTGAAGGTTCTCCTCTATGTGTGTTTCTTGCTGTACATACATCAGCAATATGTATATACAATATATATATATATATATTAAGTCTTAAAGTAGTACTGATGACACAACACATGAAAACAACAGCAAACACATCATAAGTACCGGCCGGGAACTCCCTGTATCTCCAAACGGCTCCCTGTTGAGTAGCTCAGTATGAATACCCCGGACCCAAGCCGCCGCTCCCTCCAAAGCGCGCTATGCAAGACATTGCAAGACATTATAAGACAATGCAAGACTATGTCGTGCTATGTCGCGCTTGCAAAAACTAGGTCACTGCGCCCCTAGGTATGGCCGTGCGTTTTCTGCTGTGTGTTTTCTGCCGTGTGTTTTGCCTGCAAGTGTTGATGTTCTCCACGTTGGTGCGTCGTTTTCTCGACCGGAGTGTTGTTTGGGAGGAGGTGAAATGTGACGTGCTGAAACGGAACCCGCTCGGAATGTTCGACCCGAGGTGCATGCGCCACGCAACGCCATGGCCCCTTTCGGGGCGAATCAGCTCGGTGACCCCAAACAACGACGACAGGATCCCTGGAAGGACTCATCACGGAGGAAAGCCACCTGTAGAGGATTTCATGGTCATCCGAACTCGGGGGCCATCCACGTAGTGGCCCATGAGAATTCCCATCCAAGTGTCTACCGCAGGCGCTTCCTTACTGGGTGTCCAATGGAGACCTATAAGTCAGTGTAGGGTTGTCCATTGGTGACCCGTTGGAAGCAGCTGGTATATTGTTCTTCGTATAATTGTTCAACATTGAAGGACTAACATGCCCCGTCCGAGTTTGCTCCGGCTCGGAGCCTCCGATACTAAAGGCCCATACCTTGGCAAAACCGTCTCCAAATAGTTTGGTCCACCTTTCTTGGAAGAAGTCTTGGTTTCAATACCACCTGCCTTTACTTGCCTTTTGATGGGGCCTCTCCTAAGAGACTTCGTCCTTTGGAGCCTCTCCTCGTTGTCCCCGAAGAACTCGCCCAGCTTCCGAGTTCCACTCGTTCCAGCGTGATCACGCCCGAAAAAGAAGGTGAGCCCCACCAGCGGATCCAAAGCGATTCAGAAAGAAAGTCTGCAAAGACTTACTGTAACTGTTACTATATATATATATATTATACATGTTAAATCATATTACCAGCTGAGACTCCATATTTGGAAAAAAAACTGCTCATTGTCATGCCATGGTTATTCTTGTTTAACAATTCTTCTACTCATCTCTCCATATTGGACACCTCATTCTCCGCCTTCGTTGGCGCCTTCTGGCCCACCGCGCCTCGTTCCACTTCTCTGAGCACTCGTGGCTCCAAGCGATCTCCTGGCCAGTCAGGTCGCGTCGACGCGAACCGGTCGCCAGACGTGACCGGAGCTCCCGAGAAACAGTAGAACGGTTGCCACGGTCGATCTTTTGGGGAGACGGTGGATGGAAACGCTTGAAATGGTGGAGTTGGTTGAACTGTTTTTGAAATGGTCCACCGGTCCGCCTGGGCTGCTGCTTCATATAGTGGGTTTGGATGGTTTGGGCACCTGCCTGATCTTCGGATTTCATCTCTTCAGGGCGCCATCCACAGAAACGCTCCAGGGAGCTGTAGGGGTTGGTACTAGGCTAGTACTATAGGGCTATGCAAAAGCTATCACACCACCACCAACAGCAACAATGGATGGTTGTGGTTGGGACCAACAGCCCAACATTGAGATGGACATTGGACAAATCTTATTGGTTCAATCTTGTTTGTCCCCGTACAAAGTGACTGGCCTGACTAACCTGTCTTCACATTATTTCAATATTAAAAGAAATTCACTCTGCCATGGGGCGGTACTGCTCCACAAAGAGGTCCACTTGAGAGTTGCTGGCATCTGGTGTGACCAGGTCCATGAAAAAATCCACCGGATTGGCGTGCCTGGCCCGGAGAATCGAGCATCGAGCACCGGACACCGCTTCGGAGCGGTTCGGATTGGAATCCACTGAACACGAAACGACCGAGATGTCCCAAATGACCCTGCATAGTGATTCTGCAAGTACATGCGGATCATGATCCGGCATGTACTTCGGGATATTTACGATATGTTGGGGGTCGCCTCAGTGTGGGTGAGCGACTCGCTCCACCCAACGTTCCCTGCCGGGAAAGCAAACTCACGTGCGTTGGGAATGATGGGATCAGGCATCGGATCTAATTTGGTTCTATTTTCAAACTCCCCTGCAGATTAACATAGACCCTCCAAACCACTGGGTTGTAGAGGAAAATGGTCTTCCACCGGTCAATTTTCGGGTTCCATGTTAGTTTGCGGGAGAGTATCTATCCCAGACACACCATGGGACTGCCATATATGCCTACATTGACCCCTTTCAACCCCCCCTGGCCTGATCGGCAGTCCTATGGCAGTCCTAGACAGGTCGTGTCTGGGTATCCTTTTGTTCTGTGGTTCTGGTGGTGATGCCCAGCATCAAGCATATGCATAAATATGTCTAAATACATGGGACATACATGGGCATTACCCCAAACTGACCATCACTGAGCAAAAACACCTCCATCCCGAGGTGCATGGGCACGTCAAAGCCAACTTGGTGCAAGTAGTCTTCCACATCCTGCGATCCGTTCTCCGGTGTCTGAACTCCAAGCACAAACGAAACCAAACAAATACCCAGCAGCCCACAAGCCGACCAACTTCCCAACCGGCCGAAACTAAAAAGGCATCACGCCATCGAACAAAACCAACCAACCAACCAAACACCGTACAAGTATGTGGCCCACCAAATTGTTGGAGGCGATGCATATAGCCTGTTCAAGTCTTGCCAGCCTTACCTCAAGAAGACCGTCTGCAAGCAATTTACAAAGTTTAAAAAAACGGCCCCACAGTCTATTTGTTGATAGGTAACCCATCATGTGGGATTTGAGGCCCTCGAAGGAACTGATTGAGGGGGCCTACGCTCTCCCTAGACTTGACCCTGATTGCGTGAGAAAATCCTTTACCAACTAGGAGCAAGAAGCTACTAGGAACAAAGGGCATCGCTACTAGGAGCAAAGACGCTACTAGGGGCTCCAGGCCTTACTACTAGGAACAAGGTTCGCTACGAACGTTAGAACATAATTTTATAAAACATAATGTATCTGTTTGACACAATTTCATTCTTTTTGACACACCCCCTGATGAAGGGTTGTTTGATCCAAATCGGATGGTTTTATAAAGATTCTATATGCATTAGAATCATTAGAACGAGTTTGTCTCCAGCTAGCTCTCCATCTTTCCTAGAGAGAGGAAGATGTGACATGCTTCCTTGGGCAACCCCACCACCCACCTGGAGTTCCCCCGCCACACGCACCCCCCGCGGTGTTCACACATTGTCACAATGCACCTGCGGTGGACCCGCTCCTCCATCTTGCCATTGTAGACGGCCCGGCCAGGGTTCGCCGTCATCAAGACGAGCTCGTCGAAGAGCTGGGCGACCTCTATCCTGGGTTGGTGAATCACCTTAGCCACAACGCGGAAGAAAAGCAGAGAATCTAAAATCAAGATCTTTGGATGCACCTACCTGGTGTCGTTCTGCTCGAGCTATAGACGCTGGTCGGGCTCACATGGTTGAACGACCCATCCCGGGTTTGGTGTGGTTTGGTATAGTCTTCTTGGAGATTCAAACCCATTTTAAAAAAAAACACACACTGACATACGTACCAAACCATAACCAAACAGTAGTGGCATGTTGGGGAATTGGAGATTCAAACTCCTTCCCGCTGACGAAGCCAGAAACAATCATGGGCGAATATATATATATATAATAATTCAGATATGCCTGTGGCTCAAAACCAGGGGTGACCTTGTGCTTCTTCCAGGGGTTCGGTGGGGTCAGGCTCCGTAGTTTAATACGCAATCATGTACTAGACAAAGTACACTCACAACTCAAACAAGTCCCATGGTTCTTGCTTCCAGCTTGGTGTTTTTTTTTTTTCTCGTATCTTCTGGCACAACCACCACACAACAACAACCACAACCGCCCAAGTTGCCACCAAAACAATGACGTTGTAGAAGCGAGCGATGTGCTTCATATACCTTCACCCACTTCAGCAACGCTCGGCCGAGCCGAGGATCGAGGATCGACTAGCAGTGTGGAGCGGATGCGAGTCGAAGAACTGCAACGATTCGTTACCAGTGTCTCAGGATGCGTTTTGCCCGATGAAACACACCTCAAATCAACTGCTATAGCTATTGGAATAAAATATCAAAATCCCTTCCGCTTATTAAAAAAACATACACAAACACGCCCTCACCGCTTTCACCGGTTCCGCGCTCTCCGGGGCTCCTCACCGGATGCATGCCTCTGCATCCGTGGCCGAGAGGCCACTCGTGGGTTCATCGCAGAAGAAGACCTCTTCATCCCCGCGACGTGAAGAAGCGGCACCGTTCGACCGGATCGTTGGAAGCTGTTCGAAGCTGTGGGATGGGAGGAAATCGATCGGAAGCAGTCCTGACTTGGAAGATCGAAAGCAACTCGCCGTTCCGAATCGTAGATTGATCCAGAAGCACTGTTGGTGTGAGAAAGCACTTGCATGCAGGCAAGGAGACACAGAAACAAAAGTTCTAAACCTGCATTCGCGTGTTTCTATGATGCATGCTGAACAAAGCATGATCGAAAAGGAGAGAAACACATTCCAAGTTGGGCATCCTGGCATCCTGTAAGGAGAGACCTCCCTGGTTGTTGCACCCCGTTCATCGTGCAAATGCAAAAGGAGACAGTAAGACTACTGTAACAACCTTCTTAAAAAGGGGTCCTTTACTGGCACCTACCAGCGTGTGTGTGTGTGTCACACTCTGTATCTAAGAGTTTCTTCCACTCACTCATTTCACGCACGGGGTGACAGGGTCGCTGCATGGCTGTCGCCAACGAAGCTCCATGCAGTCGACCAGGATGCAGGGACTGATCATCCCTGTGCACCTGCATTTTCAACTGTTGACCAGGCTGTCCAATTTGCTCGGTTTGTTTTCATGGTCCTTACATGATGCTACCCCCAAACCTACTTTCCTCCAGCTGAGCTTGTCACTGCGCTGAGGTTAGAGATCGATTTCGAGATCACTTGAAAACACTGTTAAACCATACTGTTTTTTGCTGACTCTTTCACTCTGCGTTTCCCTCGCCCTTTTCGACTTGGGAACTGAGCTAACTGAAAGCCCATGTCAGAGTGTGTGCCGCTCTGCCGTCCCACTTGGGTGCAGGGCCCGTCACTGGGGCACTGTCTTCACTCCGGATTACCGTTTAACGGATTTAGCGGTTTACTGCACACGTTGGATTCTCTTAACCGATTTTTGTTTCACCTTTGTATTCCCAAAAACAAAAAGCCGCCGGGCTTCACGGAAATGCCAAGCCGCCGGCTCACGGAGACTAAACCCAAACGCGTTCTCTACCCACACACCCAAACCCCCCCCTCCCTCTAATTAGGGTAACAGAGGGAAATGGTACTCGACACACTTGTGTGTCGGTGCCTTTCCCTCTGTTGTCCCTGTTCTAGTCTACTCTACCCGGGCGGTTTAAGACTAAAGTCCCGCTCCCTAACTATTGCACGTAGTTCGTTTCTGCTAAGTAGTCAGTAACTCTAGAGTGCTAAGTATTCATACACACACACGGCCACACACATGTACATACACTTCCCTGCCCCCCCCCCACTTTCCTTCTTGCGCTTTTGGTCGTTTCTTGGGCTTTCTCTCAGGCTTTTTGGGTTGCTCTTGAGGCTCGTTTCCCTATCCCAGTCAAGGGCTAAGTATTCACTTTTTTCTACACCTACCTTTCTCTCTTGCCCTCTTAGCGCTGCTCTTTCTGTGTTTCTTTCTTTTGTTTCTAAGGCTTTTTAGGTATCTATTCAGGTCGTTCACACGAGCGCCGCAAAGCGGCATCGTGTGTGTGTCAACCCCTGTTCCTAAGGGTTCTGTAATCCTGTTCAGCTACCACGGCAGGGGGATGCCCACACCTGAAGAGAGGGCATCTAACAAAGAGGCTCTTCAGGATGTGCTGATACCAGCAAGGACGCTTGCTGACGTACCTGCACCTGAAACTGTTGTTCACGCTTTTCCACTTTCGATTTGATTCATGGTGGTTCCTGCATGCTATCTCCCTAAACCCTTTCCTGCCACGTTTTGCCGCAGCTGATCGCCGCTTTCACTTGAGCGCGTTGAGAAACACTTGTTCAACAATACTGTTTTGCTGACTCATGCGCCTTTCCGTTCCCTCACCTTTTTCCACCTGGGAATTGAGTTAACAGCAAACCAATGTCAGAGTGTGTGTCTGTCTGTCTGTCTGTCTGTCTGTCTGTCTGTCTGTCTGTCT